TCTATCTAGAAATACAAGTTTTCAACAAAAATATTTTCTCAGTGAAGTCTTTTCGGATAAAATCAATTAAAAAACAAAAAAAATAAAAATAAATAAAATCAAAACCAATAATGTATCGCATTTTGTTGCCAATTTTAAGTAATTTTAATTTTTGGTCATTATAAAGTCGTATCAACAAGAAATTACTGCCTAGGATTTAGGGATATTGRCATAAAGGCGAGGAGAAGTGAACTTGAAAAAAAAGTGTTACAACTAAACTCCAATAATCCACCGTAAGTCCATTTTTTTTTCTGATTAATTCCTATGATTCCAAATTAATTCCTGTAGTTCCAACTTAATTCCTATAGTTACAACTTAATTTCCGTAATTCCAAATAATTCCTGTAATTCCAAATTGAATAGTTCTAAGAAATTCAACTTAATTTTGCAAAGAAATTATACATATAAGTGTCCTTGAAGTTCAACGCGCTCAAGCACTCTCTGATAATTCCAAAAAGAATTCCAGTAATTCCAATCCAGCAATTCCAAATAATTCCAATAATTCCAGAAAAATTCCAGTAATTCACATATAATTCCAGTACATAATTCACAAGTAAAGATTTGTCAACAAGAAATTACCACCTAGGATTTGAATTTTTAGGAAAATTACGTTTTTCATGTTGTTTGTAACTAAAATTTTCAGAAGTAATTTTGAATGCCTAGTGTTGGTTACCCCTTGTTGTTGACGGTTGACGTTTTCTGTCAACCTGCTGTCAACTATCAATTGAGTTARCTATACAAACTGACAGGTGACTTAACCTAAATTTTTGACACTAGTTACGATATCTTTTGTTTGTCACTAAAAACCAACCTAACCAAATCTATGGCAACCTATTCACGAATATGCCTAAATCCTAGGGAGTAATTTATTGTTGATACGATAATAATTCCAAACAATCCAAAAATAATTTCAATAACTCCCAAATACTTCCATATAATTCCAAGCAATTTCCGATTAAATTCCAAAAATTTGCCCCTCGTATAAAAGTTAGGTTAGAGGCTATGTGGTTTCTAGTGATAAACAAAAAATATCCTAACTATTGTCAAAAACAGGTAAGTCAGATAAGTCAATTGATAATTGACAAATTGACAGAATACGTCAACAACAACGAGTAACCAACCTTAGACACTCAAAATTACTTCTAATAATTCTAGYTACTAACAACAGYAAAAACGTAATTTTCCTAAAAGTTCAAATCCTAGGTAGTAATGGTAATTTATTGTTGATAAATTTGTATTTTTAGATATCAGTGTATGTAAAAGATAAGATAGTAGTTTACTTTAGAGTTATTTTGCAAAGTAATAATTTAAAAACAAATAACAAACAATAAAAAGCATTTGTAGGCGAATTTTCTCACAACTTCTGCAACACAGCTGTTCCATTTTCTTTAATTGCCTCAAAACAAGCTGTAAATGTAAATTTGAGATGTTTGTGTACTTTAAAATATACCATTTCCCATTTATAAATAGAAATACAACAAAATTCAATAAGAAAATTTAGTCGTCGTCTGGAGAGCAATAAGGGGTTGAAATATATTAAATTTTGGGTCGYAATGATTTACAGTCACTATTTTAACCACAAACTGGTCATAAAACCTAAGTGGAGACTAGACAGTTTACGAATTTTCTTGACTACTTCCAATCGATTAAGATAACAAGTAAGCTGAAGCCTTGCAATAACGACATTTTGATGCACCTCTCGTGTATTACAACACTCCAAGTGAAACTTTTGCCTTCTCAGAATGGAAACTTAGCGGTAAACTCGATTATACAAAATAAGACAATCGTGCACTTCCTTCTATCCTCTTCGACAAACAAATGGAAACAAGAACAGTTAATGAGAGTTGGAAATTATCCTTTTGTTCTTCCAGAATTCAATCGCGTGCTGTTTTATCTTACTTTACGCAAGACTGGAGCCTGTTATCTGACAAGTTCTCCGGACAAGTAGCCAGGTTAATGTCTTCTTTATATTGTTTCACTGCAATTTTTCGAATTTCTCTGAAATATGTTGGATGCTGGAATTTATCGTTTATTTATAGCCCAAAACCGTCGTAAATCAGAGTGCGAATGACATATGTTCGCAAACAGATCAATATCCTCTCTGTCTTAAAATTCATCATTATTATTAGCCATGTAGTCGTTAAAATGTCATAAACCACAGACTAATTACACATTTTCGACAAATTTATTACACCCGCATTCACAGGATGTGAATCTCTTAAAATTTAAAACCGACAAAAAAAAWMYAAAAAAAAAAKACATCAAGTCAATTCAATGCGTAATTTTTTTATCATCCATTATTAACATGAATTAAATAAAGGAGTGACGTTTAGTGGGTTACTTCGTCTCATTTGTCTTTCATGGCTCCGGCCAATAAACAAAAATATCAATCTACTTAATTGATCGCAAAACATGCTTTATTAATAATTAAGATAATTATGATAAATTGATATTTTCTTCAAAATTACGCTCGTCAACAAATGAAACTAATAATAATTGGCYGCAAGTTTTTGCAAAGCCGGTAATTGCATCAATATTCATGGTGTTTTTAGCGAAGATTGAAAGAGTTAATCAACTGTGTAATAATTCAGAAGAAAAGGAAAATAACAAAGTTTCAATTTGTGATACTCAAAACTCTACAGTAATTAATCAAATTTTTTGCCAATAAAGAGCGGTGCGTTAAATTGTAAAGAATCATCTAACGAGAACGTGATATTACATACTTCGTTGCTACTTTTTTTATCGTAACATTTTATTTCAAAAATCAACCAATATTTCCTCAACTATTTTTCAATGCCATAATAGACAGAAAGCCTTTTCAAACCTACTCATTCTCATTTCTAGTAGGTCACAGCTCAGTTACAACCATTGTTACAGCGTATTTGTGTTATTTTCGTATTCCGTATTTTACTCCAATTTCATTATGCAAAAATATACAAACTGCTTTAGTTCAAAAGAACAGTGTTTATGTCATTTCCGGTTAAATCTAATACAATTAATCGAAAAATATTCCTTTTTACTCAAACTCAAAAATGTATTATTTTACTTTAAAAATCTGGAGCACTAAAAACCAGTGACCTGTGCTTTAGAAATTAGTATGTTAAAAATTGACAAGTTTTTCATATCTGTCAAATTCACAAGCCACTAACCAGAAATTGTTTTTTTTTTTACATTCTTAATTCATAAAATCATAAAATTCAAGAAAAAAGCACGCAACAAATTTTTGTTAGTTCATTTATTCCGAGCATCGATATTCGTTGTTTWTTCACCTTTTCTTACAGTGCGATCAAAAAGTCTTTCTATCAAGTAGGCGTCCTAGTTGAGGACGTACGTTGCATGGCAGTTTGTATGTTATCTAGATGTCAAAAAATTATTTTATAAAAATTAAAACATTGAGCTAATTAAATTGAATTTTTTTATGAAACGTCTCAAAACAAACTAAAATAAGATTTTGTTGGTGTTTATTTATATTAATCGTTCACCACGGTTTCCTGTCATAATTTACATAAGGAATATTTTGACATTTCTCATTTGTCATTGTGACATTTTATCTTCCACAGACATACGTTTTAAATTTCTACGCTTGCTTGATAGACAGACTTTTTGATCGCACTGTATATTGAAATGTTTTATTTTACTTTAAAAATCTGGACCAATAAATACCAAAGTGAGCTGAGATTTAGAAATTAGTAAGTTAGCAATATGTAAAAAATTGATATGTGTGTCAAATTAACAGGCCACTAATCAGAAATTGTTTTTACATTATTTTAATTGATGAAATCATAAAATTCAATAAAAAAGCACACAACAATTTTTTGCTGGTTCATTCATTTCGAGCATCAATTTCGACGTTTTTGCACCTTTTCTAGTAATGAAATGCTTTATTTTACTTTAAAAACCTAAACCAATAAATATCAAAGGAACCTCTGCTTTAGAAATTATCAAGTTGGCAGTATGTAAAAAATGAACATCTTTTTCACATRTGTCAAATTCAAAGGCCACTAAGCAGAWATTGTTTTTTACCTTTTTAATTCATAAAATCAAAAAATTCAATAAAAAAGCACGCAACAGTAACAATTTTTTGTTAGTTCATTCATTCCGAGCATCAAGTTCGTGGTTTTTGCACCTTTTCTCATAAT